TGCATATGAAAATTTCCAAAGCAACAGCAAGAGCCATGATTTATCAAAATGGAGATTTGGATATTTGAGGAACAATTTACTTAGCACCATTTAACAGAATTTCAATCCTTAAACTGATTTTTTAAAAAGTACAGGCCCAATTTTTTAAGGTAAAAATTTACACATTTGAAAAATATATACTGTTGAAGGGAAGAGTTATATAATTAATACCAGTGCCAATGAAAGAGTTCCTCATGTTTCCATATAGCATAAACTATTTTGTTTTGTTTTGTGACAGGGTCTCCCTGTAGACTTAGCTGGCCTGGAACTTGCTATGCAGACCACACTGGCCTTGATCTCATAGAGATCCACCTGCCTCTACCTTCTAAGTGCTGGGATTAAAGGCATGCACTACCACTCTGGCTAGCTTAAGCTATTTTCTTTAAAAAGTATTTTATTTATTATTTTTATTTTTTGTGTATGAGTGAACTGCCTGCATGTAGGGAGGTGCACCTGTGCCGTGCAATGCCAGCAGACGTCAGAAGTAGGCATCAGAAGCCCTGGAACTGGAGTTTCAGATGGTTGTTAGCCACCATGTGGGTGCTGGAAATTGAACCCAGGTCCTCTGCGAGGGCAGCCAGTGCTCTTAACAGCTAAGCCATCTCTCCAACCCCAAGCCTTTTCTTTCTTTTTTTTTTCCTAAGACAACTTAGAAAAAAAAAAGTTCACTTGACAATAAAAACTAGGAAAGTTTTTACTGTCTAATGTTAGCCTTCAGGAGGTGTTTCCTACACATGAGGATTTTTTCCACCTCAGATATATTAACTCAGAAAATCTAGGGTTTTTCATTACTTTCAAAAAAATAACTAAATGATCAGCCATCCAAATTTTAAGAATGCAACTTTGAGAAAAAATGTCTGCTACTGTCATCTTAATCTGCTTTACAGTAAGTACAGAAAAATTGTATCTATGTATCTCCATAATGATTAAAAAGAAAAACAGCATTTATGGAAATTATGATTCTGAAAGACTGTATCATTAAGGTGATTCTTTTACTCAATATTGGGTCCATACAGGAAACTTATCTAGAACCAGATCTTAGTTATAAAACCTTCAGTGATTGAGTAATATTGTATTCAAATGCTCCTCAATCAAATCAAATGGAGGGTTTAAAAAAATCTTTCTTTCAAGGAAGAACATCATGAATAGAAAATGTCTGTATATTTACTTTTGTGCCATTTGATTATTTATCATTTCAAGGTATGCAAAACTCTTTTGTGTATTTTGCTGTTAGACACTTGCTTAGGAAATGTGAAACCTTCACCCCATCACAAACCATATACATTGCTCCATTGTGTCTTTTACACTGAGTCTCCTACTGAGTCCAAATCATCCGATGAGAGGGGGCGGTACAGGTCCTGTAAGATGAAGGGCGGGACAGATTCGTTTATTTGGCTTTCTTGGGTGCCCTGCTGCTCTGTTAGGAGCAGCTTGGAATGGGCATCCTTGGTTTCTAACATAATCAGAATTGTTAAAGTTACCAACTTTGGATAAGAGGAAAGAGAACAATGGATCAATCATCCGTATAGACAAAGTGATGATGATTTCATTTTACCGGCAAGAAAAAGCGTTCCTGAGCTGTCAGGAGCTTCTGCCTTTTTTTGTGTCCAGTTGAGTTATAACCCTTGCTGGCTGCCAAGACCAACTCTGTTATTCTGTGTCTAGGCGATTCTTCCGTGAACATTTTCTTCCCAGTCTGGGTAGAAGAGGAATGTGCTTACCTCATAAAATAATCTATCAGGGGCACCAGCTGGCATTTAGCATATTCTGGTTTCTGAGAAGCAATTCGAGTGTGCAATTGCACACAGCATAAACCCAACTAACACTGCCCTTTCAAAATTTTATGTTTGGATGACTGGAAGAATGCAGTGATCCCCATGCCCTCCCACCCCAGTTCTCCTTGCTAGTTCCAACTACTGAGTCGGCCCCTCTCCTTCCTCCTGCTTCTTGCCTCTACTACGGCTCCATGTTGGTAGCCAGGCAACCAGCTCAGATCCGCCGCTGAGTGTCTACAGTTGGCCTTTTTCCAGTTTTGTACCACCCACTCCTCACATATCTGACTGTTCAGATAATCTACAAAAGTCAGTGATGTGGGAGTACAGCGGGAGCTTCATTCAACCTACACAACACAACAAATTTCTTTCTGATGTGTTAAGAAAGGATACCAAAAAAAGTTCATGGATGAGAAGAAAGCCTCCAAATTTGTTTCTGAGCCAGACAGATGCTTCTAGACGGGCAACTTAAATAAATGTGTTTTGGATAAATAGGGAGTTACTTGGTACATTGTCTCAAATATGTTTATGAATAAAAAAATCTGATATGCAGACTTACATGGCATATGACTATTTTAAAATATCAAAAGAATATAAAAACATGAATATAGAACATGAAATTTTAAGGGACAAAAACAGTGTATTCAATCATAATTAACATAAGTAAAAATACATTTATAAAGAAGTCATATATCTCAATATTCCATTAAAAATTAGATTATGTTCCTATATCTTAGAGAGGTATATGAGTGTGCATGTACGTGTGTGTGTGTGTGTGTGTGTGTGTGTGTGTGTTGGGATGGGGGGGCTGCAACTCATTTTCTGGTTATGTTGCTAGGCAACGCAGAAGGAAAAAAATAGAAGTAGGTACCGTTTTCTAATTTGCAATAAAAAGAGTTAATTTATTCTTTAAAGTGTCTTCTTTTAGCACATGCCATCTTTCACTTATTTCAGTATTTCCTGCATAGGAGTATAGCCAACCATTTGAAAAGAATATTAACCAAATTTGAAACAGGATCAGAATCAGTTTTTAGGGATATTCTGGGCCCATTTTACCAGGGAGGGGTTATTTAATGCAGTTGTCTACACACAAAGATGAAAGCCCCTCTCACTAAAGCAGCTGGGAATGTTTCCATGGTCCATAGATGGAGGACATTCATAAATTTAAAGGCTTGAAAACAGAACCATCTTTGAATACATACAGCTAAATTCAAAAGCCTAGAAATGAAACATCGTTGAATACATCAGCATCCTGCTTACAACATGTGCTTAATAAATGTTTTCAGATGGTGATAAACCCTTTGTCTCCCTAAAATGAATGAGAGTTTTTTGGCCCTCTCAAGGATAGTGTTTATACTGGTAGCTTAAATGGCAAGACGAAAAAATAATTCTGTCAGAGAACCAGACTTCATAATCATTTCCCAAGTGCTAAAAGTGTTAATTATGTAAGTCAGTGACTACACAGCTGGATGGAAATTTTCTGCCTCAGTTGAACAAAAAATCTTAGTGAAGCAGAGAAGAAAAAGATGCAAATTCTAACCTCATTCCACTAATAAAGGAGTGAGTAAAGCTTTGTATCCCCAAGATGGAGGAGACCCCCACCGTAAACACCCAGGGAGACAAGCTCTTTTCTGTGGGAGGGCTTCTCAATCACTGTTAATTTAACCTCAACAACTAAACCCGAACTATACTAATAACTCCCGAGTGCTAGGTTAATGCATCAAAGGCTAATGAGGGATTTCTATGTTAGGTGTATTCTCTAAAGTGTGAATACACTCTAAGAGCCGGAATGCTTTCTGAAACAGGGCCCTTCCTGTGCTATGGGTCTTTATAGATTGGAACTCTGCTGGCTGATATTCACAAGTACACAATGGCCACAGCAGCTCTTCCTTCCCTGAAGTATAAGACTTAAAGATATTGAATGAATTTGGACAATTCTTCATTGCGTAGTTCATGAATGCTTCCTAAAATCATCCAAAAGAAAAAAAGACTTCTCTGAGATGATCCAGCCACTGAGTGGAAAAGCTGATGCCAAAATCCAGGCTTCAGAATCTAAAAAAGTTCAACCCAAAGTCAGAAGAATCAGTGGGGAAAGATAACCAAACCTGGCCTTTGGAGTAAGAGGTTCAAAGGAACTGAGGACTGACTGATGCCCCCTTGCCCCTCACTTAGAAATGACTGATGGTTCTGGCAGCCTAACATAGGTAGGAAACTGAAGAGAGAGGCTTCCATCTTTGATGAACTTACGTTTATGGAATTTAGAAGTGTTAATTTAAAAATGCATAACAAAGGAACTCAAATTCAAGCATTCTGGTATTTGAGTAGAAAAGCCTGCGAGAATCCCTGCTTATTAAAGTATTCAGTGAATACCATCATAAAAACTTCCTAAAGGTGTCCATTCCCTCCACCTCACTTCTGAAAGCAGGACCTTGAAGGGTCTTCTACTTTTCCTTTCCTTTTCCCCTTTCCCAATTCTCTTGTTCTTGCCAATTCTCTCTTGGTATTACTGGAGTGGACAAACAGTACAGGGTGTGAGCGGATATGAATAGTGGTTCTTCCATCCTGAATGAAGAGCTACACCTCACCCCTTTGCTTAGCATGGAGAACTTAACACTGTTTCCAGTAACTTTTTCACATTGGTCTTCATGCTCGGCGAATTTCTATTATTATACAAGAGGCTCAAAATAAATTCAAGGGAAATGTGTTCAATGTGGGCTTCATTCACAGAACCATGTATCCTGTGTACCCATCCTCTCTACCCCGTGGACTTGCAGCTGCCCTGGACTACTGGCCTGTGCCATAGAGCAATTCCCCACCAAGATTCTTTCCTCCATGGACAACACTTTGCCCTAAGAGGTTGATGATTACTGATGATATCTACTCCAACTCATTATTACTAAGGACACCTGCATATGTAATAAAGTACGTGTATGATAAATAAAAAAGAGGGTATTTAAAAGTAAAACAGTCAATGTATACTCTACTGAGAATTAAGACTGGACAAGCTGACAGCAGTGGAAGACCTGAGCTCTAGTGGACCCACAGGAATGGCACGTGACCCCTACTGGTCACCCTACTGCCTTAGCTTGGCTATTCTCTTGAGACAAGTGGCACATTTTGCTGGCACCTCTGCCACTCTGCACCAAAACTCAGACGGATCTTATATAGGTGTCTCGTTTGTGTCCTTACCCTCTGCTTCCGTAGGCTTCCTGGGCTGGTGGGTGATGGACTTGGCGACTTGCCCGAGCGTGGAGTGGAGAGCTGACTACCAGGGGTTCCATTAACTAGAATCAAAAATATCACACACAGAGAAAAATGGCATATTAAAGAATTTCAATGACAATTCATCTTAGAGAAATAGTCAGAGAAGGGATATCAGCTAAAACTTTGACACCCCATTATCTGTCTTGTGAAGAAAAGGGAGAATTGTCTTCAGAAATTCACTTTTCTGTTAATCTCGTGTTTAATGCAACAGCAAGTTACATAATAACCTTAAAGATGTGCTTTTCACAATTTTCCCAATGAACTTGTAAATGAGGGCTTTATTTGAGCCAACAGAGATTTTAGGAGTATGTTTAAGGTCTTGAGACGTTTTCAATGTCTTTTTATAGTTTAGTTGTCTGGCAGGAAAAAAAATGTTTGAACAGCTCACAAGTGTCAATTCCCAGTGACTTGATAATTTAATAACTCACTTCTAGACTTTGCTGCATTCTTTTATGTCCCGTCCATTCCCCAGCTTGATTCTGATGGACTTGCCCTGACTGAACAAGACAAGATAATTGGGCACATACGCTGAGAAACTCCTCACAATTTATCTTTTCTGCTATTGAACATAAAAGCTGCTAACAAGTTCAAATCACAGGAATTCTTTCTCTTCTTGTATATACCACTATCACTAAGCTAAGATGAAGCCACAAAACTCAAGCAATTCTTTTCTTTAACTGGTACCACCCCTGGAATGTATAATCCCACTGAAGACATGATTTTCTAGATATCTATGTACAGCTGCCTCTCTTTTGCTTATAGAATGCAACATTAGGATACCACAGTGAATGAAGCAGAATTAGGCAGGACACACACACACACACACACACACACACACACACACACACATTCTGGAGGGTGCATAAGAACACTTGCCACAGGGGAGAGCATCAGTGCATTCCACTCACCTTCTATGAGTTCTAGCATGGACACAGTCTTAGGTGTTTGACCTGACAATAGCAAGAGGCAAAATCTCTTCTCAGCACCAAACTCAGCACCCGCAGAAATGGGAAGCAGTTGGATTAGCTAGGGATGGCTAAGGCTGCTCCCGGAGCAGGCTGAATGAGATGCAGAATTCATCAGCAGATGTCTTTTCCTGCGTAAGGCTGACGTCTTCCCAGTGGCAGTGGGAGGTGCGGGTTCTGTCTTAGGCTACATCAAAGGTGTCAATTAAGCCTCATGCCAACGCAGAGCCACTGCAACCCCCACCAGACACACACTCACTCCTCATTCCGGAAGCTCCAGCCTGCTCAGTCCTTTGCACTGAATCATAATAAAGTACCTCTGGGGGCAAGCAACTCAGTGACTCATCTGAGAATCAAAATGACTATAACTCCTCCGAAGCCTGGCAAGTTGCAGGTAATAAGGACACTCTCACAAAACCTGGTGGCAAGGTACAATATTTATTGACTTTTTTTCATACACCACATTTTTATAAAAACTTAACAGCTTAGGAAAGTGAGACACTCCTTGGCTGCATCTGTCATCTACTCCAAAGTTCTCAAAAATGCCACATACCCCATGCTGCACTAATTTGTAGTTTTTCCTTTGAGATGTACTTAATGCCTTTCTTTTAAAGACTTTTCTGTTTGCTTATTGTTGTTTTTGCTCTATACAATGGCAGGCTGAGGGTGCTTTAGTTTCCTTGCATGCTACTGGATTGTCTTTGTTCAGTAATCATCGTGGTCATGTTTATGACTTATTCAACTTGACTTCCCAGTCAGTGGTCTCGAACAGAGGGGCTCAGAAATAGGTTAGGATTTCAGCACTGTGGTATAGGCAGACTCTACAACCAGCACTGGAAGAGATGCTGGCCCTGGTGATTGGCTGGGGGTACATTTTATTAAATTAATATCCAGATGCCCACTATGATTCTCCTTTACATCCTTATGTCATACTTAAAGGCTGTGTAGATTGATGAGGGAGGAGAAGGGTGGGAAGATAGCGGGTACAGGGGAGGGGAGGAGATGACCAAATAAGGAAGCAAATCCAGTATTAATATGGTTTTACTTCAAGGACTCTGATTTGTTGTTATTATTGTTGCTTTTCGGTTCTGGGGTTGAACTCAGAACTCAGGGTGACACAGATACCAGCAGAAACTCTACTGCTGAGCTTCACCCATGACTAGGGGAACTAAAGGAAGAAGAAAACAGTCATGGAAATAAGTATCTTGCTTTAAAAAGCAAAGCAAAACAAGAACTTTTATTTAGTAAGTATGTATGTATTATTACATGGACAGCTTACTTTCTACGCACCAGTCAATGCATTTAAACCTTGAATATACATTATTTCATTTAACTCACAATAATTCTAAGACATAGGCAGCATTTTTTCCTCATTTTACTGATAAGGGAATTGAGTCATAAAGATAATGAGAAATTTGAGAAACTAAAGCCAAAACCTCACTAAGCAATCTACAACCTGCTCTCCTGCTTTCCCTGGCCCTTCAGCACCAGACTTGCAGGCTACAGGGTAATTAGAGAACTATTCATTAGGATGAAGTGCTCTAAGAGGTGAGGTATGGGGTGCTGCTATTTGAATTCTAGTAACTAATCAAGTCAAGGTTGGCCTACAGCCTGTGGAGAAGGCAACAGATAATGTAGTCAACCACAGGAGGCTGAGGAGAGCACAGTGAAAGGCTCAGCTCTGTGAATAAGGGTGGGGGAATGGAAAGAGACTGTGGAGTATGTAGGAGTTCGTTTTTATCTAGAGGGCAATGAGAAGTTATTGCAAGATCTTAAGTAGAAGCCATGGGACCAGACCTGCATTTTAGAAAGCTCTCAAGAGCCTTGCCTCATCAAGAATGGATTAGAGGGGAACAATGCTGGGCACGAGGTGATCCCTTATGATACCGTTAAAGCAGAGTCAGCTAGATGGCTCAGCAGGTAAAGGTGCTTGCCACCAAGCCTGAAGACCTGAGTTCAATCCCCGGAACCAATATGGGTGAAGGAGTGAACTGAGTCTTTTGACCTGTATGGCACACATGTGCTAACACACACACACACACACACACACACACACACACACACACACACACAATGTAAAATAAATGTCAAAGGAGGGGAGAGAAAAGGACATATTTCAGGCTTCTATGGCCAGAGATGATGTAGTTCCTGGTCCAGAGTAGTGAGTGTAGTGCAGTGTGGGGTAAAGGAAAGTGGGGAGAGGAAAGAGGAGGGACGAGGTAAACAGAAATAGTTCAGAAAGATCTGAGAGATAAAATCTAAGGACTCTAGGGCTTGGTAATTAATTGTTTGAAGGCAAGTAAGGCTGAAGGGAGCAAGACTGGAAGGGTAACAGAGAGTTCGGACATGCTGAACTGATACATGCTACATGCTACGTGACAAGTCTGAAGTAAAGGCTGCTATGGATTTTCCTATTTCAGAAGAGGAAATGGCATTTAGGGCCATGACTTGCCTCCAAACAAGCAGCCAAAAGGCAGAGCTAGTGGTGGATTTCAGTTATGTCTTGCTCAAAAAGCCTTTTCTCTGGACTAGTCTCTCCTGGCACCTAGGGCATATCCAGAACGGTCATCCCACCTGCAGAGCTGGGGACACACTGGAGGCTCAGGCCCATCTCTTTTACTTAAAGTCATTGGCTCTGATCCTCTACTTCTATTTCTAACCCTCTGGAAAATAAAACTCAAGTGTTGGACAAATCATTTGTAGTTAAATGTTTTTGGACTCAAGCTGTCTGAACGTTGGGACCAGCCTGAATTATTCACGGGGGATTCTTTCTCTTGACCATCTTTGAAAGCATTAGCAGCTTAAATTGGTTCTTGACACCCAGAAGGCATTGTATACCTGGATTATTGCTGGAATAATAATTTTCTTTCATAAGTCACTTTGATATGTGAATTGAGATCACTTGTTTTTTTCTATTCTCTAACAGTCCCTGTGCCAATTATAAGGGCTTTGTTATTTATTTATTAGCCTAATTAAAATTGCAGTGTATAAATTGTAATATTTTTCCAGAGGCCCTTATTAAATAATTTTTTATCTTGAATGGAAAAAAATATCAACTTAATATGATTGCTAAATACTCAAGGAAGCCTAACAATTATTTCAAGCTGAATTCACTGAACCCTGAATTAGTAAGGAGCCCACAGAACCTCTCTGCCTTGTACACAGTTCTATGCTCGTGTCTGGGTTCAGTTTTCTTCAACCCTGTATCCCTTCTCCTGCCTGTTGCTTCTTGAATGGCGAGTGTTACTCCTCAGGATGGACAGAGCAGAGACCATGATAATCAACACAAACTGGACAGTTGGACATTAAAGAGCTGGGGGTAGAATATGAAAAAGGGAATACTAGAGGTAGAAAGGTTTAAATGAGGACAGCACTGGGATGGTAGGGCAGAGGAAAGGGTGGGAGGAGGCATATGCAACACTAAAGATGTATGAAAAAGCCATATGGAAACCTACTGTTTTATAAGCTTATTAAATGTAATTTTAATATATTCAAACAGAGAGAGCAAGGGGATAGGGTAGGGGTACAGTCCTCTGAGGAGCCACAGGTTGTTAAACAAAAATACTAGTGCCAGGTGTAAGATATCTATCTCCCTGTATGTTGTTGATAACAAAGTGCCATAGGCCTCCAAATAACATAGGCCATTGCCATTGCTCTTGGTTACCCACCAGAACTTGATGGTAAGACGCTATTGTTGACAACACCACACATTTTGGTCACAGGATACGGAGAAACTGAGCTGGAACTGAGCTGGATGCTCCTCCCAGTTGGCTAGCTTTCATAGTGCTAGAAGATACTATGCATGATGCTGGGAGGGAAAAGTCATCAACAGCTTACCAACCACAGCTATGAACCCTCCAAGCTACAGGCTAGCAGGCCTGGCAAGATGTGCCCAGGGGTACAATATAGGCATGAATATAATAGAGGCAACCAACCACTCTCTGTTGGAATTTTATCCCTGCTCCTCAGGTAGGAACTCAGGCCTGGTACTATAAACCTTGTCAAGAGCTGATGGATGAGCAATCATAGGCCCTGGGGGAAACCCACTACTATTA